GGACATTAGACGGGTTGTTCTGGATCTTTATGTTATATTTTGTCCCTGTTTGGTTTTAGCCCTCCGTGCACTGCCTGGAGCCACTACGAGGGAGAGAGGCAGATATATAAATTGTCTGTAGAGATAAATACTAGGCAGGGGGAGAAGACAGAGAATAAAGGGGGGGGGGACATCTTCCCAAACACACCTCACCTTGTAGGTTGCCTGAATAAATGAAAGAGACATCGATGGGTTCTGAGGGGTCCTTCATGACAATCTCAACGTCCCCAGCAAAAACACTCGTGTCCTTCCAGAGCTGCATCCTAAAGATCCTGCAAAAGGGATTCTTACAACACGCTGTCAACTTACAAAAGCCTTAGAGGTTCTTTTATTTATTTTTGAAACGCTCAGACAAATGCAAGGAGAATAGGTTTTCTCTTGGTCAACGGCTACCTCCATCTTCCAAGTCGAGATATCCGTAACACCAGACGCAAGGAGTGGAAAGCAAGACACCCTGCTTTCACTGCAGAAAAGAATTGAGTTGGGGTGTGTGTGTGTGTGTGTGTAGTATCCTTCATGCTGGATTTCCCTAAAAGCAAGTCATGTTATCGGTTTTGCATTATTACTCCTGCCTTAAATGTTGCCTTTCTCTGGAGTTTTCGTACCTCATTGAAATTGGTGCAAGAAAATTAGCTACTGAAAATTCTTCCAAAGCAGGTGAGAACTTCAGTGAAATTCTCATGGGCCAAGGGTGGTCTTCCACACGCTTATGGTGTGACAAGGTCTGTGAAAGGAAAAGCCCTAGCCTTTGTGGTATAGTCCTCTCTCCAGCGGCCTGCAACCTGCCTGGCCTCCAACCCTCTACAAAGAAAGATGTTAAGAGGACACATTCTGCAAGGGAATTTGCAGACTGGGAAGTGTGGGCAGCCAGGCAAGAATCAGGGGGCTGCAGAGAAGTGTAACAGGTAGCTACGACATCAGCTGTAGTGGCACCAAAGTTGAACATTCAGAGAAGAAAGTAGGAAACCAAAAGCCTGTTTTGCAGAGAAGAAGGAAAGTTTCTGAGAAAGTGAAATTGGGGTTGGTCTCTAGCATTGGAAATCTTGTAGTGGGTTGGAGATTCAGCCATATTTCTAAAGGTACTATTGGGGGACTTTGGAGAACAGACTGCCAAATGCCTTTATCATAAATGGTGGTCTTTTGGTGACAAAGGGATTGATGTAAGTTGGAGCACGCATAAATCCAGGAAGGCAAGTTCCCTGGTACAGGTAGTCCTCGACTTACAACCATTCATTTAATGACCGTTTAAAGTTATGATGGCACTGGAAAAGTGACTTATGACCAGTCCTTGCACTTATGACCATTGCAGTGTCCCCGTGGTCACGGGATCAGAATTCAGGCACTTGACAACTGGCATGTATTTATAACAGTTGCAGTGTCCCAGGATCATGTAATCACCACTTGCCACCTTCCCAGCTGACTTCTGACAAGCCAGGTCAATGGGGAAAGCTGGATTTGCTTAATGACCGTGGTAAAAAAGGTCATAAAATTGGGTGCAACTCACTTAACGACCACATCACTTAGTGATGGAAGTTCCAGTCCCAACTGTGGTCATAAGTCAAGGACTACCTGTATATATTTTGAAATATTGAAAGAAAAGAGAAGTTAAAATGGGTCGGGGAGGAGAGAGTTTAGTCCCCTTCTCCAATTTTTCATTTTGAAAGTGGGTGCTGTTACTTCATCTGGAGATTCTCCCCCATGCTCTATCTGTTGTTCAACAAGTATGTATTATTTATTAACAAGATGGATAAGGGCGATAGAATCCACGGAGGCTGCAGCCGTACCTTTGGAATGCATGGAATTCCAACCAAATGGATCTCCTTTCTCCTCGCGTCACTTCGTGATGCATCTTATCCAAAGCCGCTTGGTCATAAAAAAGCTTCTCATGAGACTTTACGAAGGCTCGCCTGGGTCTGGTTTCATTCACTTTGGCAGAAAGAGAAGCGTCGGGTTGGATGGGACCTATGTCCCACCCCAGCTTGGTGCAGAAGGAAGCATGCACAGATTCCAGGAATTTGCAGAGCTCCTCAATGTTAGTGTTTCTCAACCGTGGGAACTTTAAGAGGTGTGGACTTCAACACCCAGAATTCCCCA